CATAGTCTTGAAATCACAACATTAATAAGTGTAACTGCTTTCTCTTTAAATCTGTTTTTTAAAAAAAAACTATTTTTACTTCAGGGAGTTTGAATGACGTCGTCGTTAGTTATTTTATTTTTCAGTTTCTGTCGTTTCTTTCCCCCTTATCGAATCGCTGTTAATCAATGACTTCCGAAATTAATATCATCAATGAACAGTTTATTCATTGTAGACATGTATCTAATTCCGTTTGTTAAATTAAATTCTTTGTGTTTGCTTGCGCTATAAATTTCCTTAAGCCTACAAATTTCTATCTCTCAATGATTTTGTACGTTTTAATGTCAGTCGACTTTCAGCCCAACTAAGAATTCAAACTTCGGCTTTAGATTTCACTTATTTATATGATAGTAGCATGGGTGATCTAAATAAAAGTAACAGTAATGTCATTACAATCTATGGATTTGTTGGAAATATCATCCAATTATTGATACTATAACATCGTGTATCGTGCCACAGTGATGAGACTATACTCTTACAGTAATAATGAATCTTCTGCTTATGTGAAAAACTTCTTGAAATGAAGATTTATCCAGGCTTCAAGGTAAATTTCTTTACAACTCAGTATCAGGGAGAAGGATTCAACACCAGTTTATTCCTAGTTTGAGACTGTAAAGCGGTATTCACCCAAATTCTCACAAGAGGTCCGAACAAAACCTTCAGGTTATGAGACAAACTGTTTTTCAATTAGTGGTTTGTAATCTAAAGATTCATGAGTTTCAGTTCATGCCAATTACTGATCTGGTATCTTTGCCGTGTTATGTCACTGGAGATTGCCTGCCTTCATATTTACCATGATGTACCGTTCCGAGTTACGACCAGTAATGAGTAATGGAAGTACACTTAAACGGAGATATGTTGCTAATCTGCAGAAGTTAGAATTCGTAAGGTATTAAGTGTGAATTTCTTGTAAAATAACCTGTCAGCCTTTGGTTCGAACCTCGGTTGGGTTGCCAATGTACATTACTGAATTTTCGCATAGTAGGAGGAGACTGCTGTTGAGTATTTCGTGGTCTTCAATATTTCCTCTTTAATCCCTTGGAAATTTACCTAAGGGAAGGAGAATGTTTTACCCAGTAAAACTAGACAACATTCTTACAAGTAGCTTATTATGACTATGAAAAAAAACACTCATCGTATTTGCCATCTGATTGTAAACGATCAATAACACTCGTATTATTGCCACAGTCAAATCGGGGGAGGATAATAAATAATCTCAGAATTCTATTTCAATTCAAACACATCACAACATTCTAACAAGTAGCTTATTATGACTATAAAAAAAAACACTCGTCTTATTTCCCATCTAATTGTAAGTGATTAATAACACTCGTACTATTATTTCTGAATGTACATTATCTCATATTGATTTTTTATTCCAATATCTAATCGATTCCACACATGTTTATAAATGAAGCAAGAAGGTTGTGTGAGTCACTTGACATGATTATGAGTGGCAATAGTTTGTGCTCGAAACGTCATCAGTTCATATAACTGTACAACACTGTGTGATTTATCAAAATAAAATCTTATCCGTAATGGAGCTATGCTCTACCACAGTGCCCAATTTTTATACTTATATCAATGCTTTGTTTATTTGACATGTCACGTAAGAATATAGCATTATTAAGATTATCCATTAAATGGTACTGTGGACACAGTCATGTATTCATGACCATTACTTGCCTTTTTGAGCTGATGCATCGCAGCCGTATGTACAATATGAAGACTGCAGTGTTTTTACTGCTTGTTAAGAATTAGGTAGATCATGCATTTTAAAGTGAATGCTATACTTGAGATTGTGTGTCGGTGGCACAGAAGTAGAATGCTAGCCAATCACAGAGGTGGTTCGGATTTCGATCCCCGGCCTGAGCACTCATTTACCTCGTTAAGCCAGTAAACGTAAATACCCCTGCTACCGAAACTTTTAAGCTATAGCTCAAAGCCCTATGTTCCATTGGGAAGATATAAAGGAATTAAATAAACAATCTATCCTTCATTTGTGTGCCAGCTTGGCACTACCCATGATGATTGCTTTGAAATGATAGCCTAGTTAACAGTTGTGCCTAAGAGTTCAGCTGGTAGGTCACCAAACCGGTAATCTAGAGACCTCTGGTTTTATTCAGATTTTCATTTTACTTTCATTACATAGCACAGTATACACTTATCTTGCAATACATATGTACTTTAGTTATTAGGAAAAAGAACTAAATTAGTCGTTTCCATCAATTTACTCTTCAGGAATTTTGAAATATTGTTCATATTTGATTCGTTTCTCCTTCTCCTGCTTTCTAAGTGGGACATGGAGCTTCAGGCTTGAACTTAGATGTTTCCGTAGTGGTAGTGTTGTTTTCAATGGGGTGGGATTGCAAGGCTCATTCCCAACCTTCCTTCTTTACTGGTTTGACTACCGACTGACAGAGGTTTATGAGAGTGTCAGCCGGGAATCGGACCCGGCAAACATGCTACCATAACTGACGCACACAAGAGGTGGTACTGGTGGCCAAGGTTGTCCAGTGGATAACACTTTGGTGGTCGAAACGATGGGTCCTAGATTACAGCTTCAGTGGGGGCACTGTCACTTGCTGGGGAATGAGGGCACATCCAGATGACGACTCAAAAATAGGTCAAAATGCACATCCTGAATTCCGCCGCTAGTCACCATCCACTAAATTACTTGAAGTTATTCCTCAGACATGGTCGAATAATCCATACTGGCAGTCGACATGTCAACACACAGGCCGGACATTTCCGATCCAATCAATCAACAGGAATTTAATTGGTGGATGGTGACTAGCAGTGGAATCCAGGATGCGCATTCCATCCTATTTGGGACTCGTCATCTGGATGTACCTGCATTTCTCAGTGAGTGATGATGTTCCCACAGAGCCTCGAACATGGATTCCACTGCTAGTCACCATCCACCAATTACATTCTAATCACATCCCCAGACATCGTCGAAGCATCTGAACAAGAAGCCAACATGTCAACCTGAGACCGAGCACTTCGGTCCAATCAATCGACGGGAAAATCTCAAACTCAATTAAAATCAACAGGAAAATCAAAATTGAATTAAAAACAAATAGTTCCAGTGTACCTTCTTGAACACGTACCAGACAGTCTTCTCATAGTTTCAGAGCAGTTTGTGATAGTGCCATAACTCTTTAGCTGACTAATACGGAAAACTAGACAATCAATATCGAAATATCTAGAGGTGGGGAACAGACCACTGATTTCAACAGCACTTCAAATTGTTGGGGCTATCACCAATTTTAAAATGAAGCATGTGTTCATTACGAGATTATTATAAACTTATCATTATGCTCATAAAAACTGACTCCTTAACTTTTTCCTCCTATATATATATATATATATAATTCCTTAATATAAGTAGTAGTTAAAAGCCAGTAAACCCCATTAATCTATAGTCCTGGTTAATCGAATAGAGATGGTTATTACGAATGTCCGTACTGATATTAGATGGTTGGAGGCTATCGACAGAAAGCCTTGGACCGTACTGGTATTACTTTCTTGACACATAATGGGTGATCTCTGTCATGGTCAGTTTAATACTTTGTTGCAAAGGAGTTACATCTTATGCTAATAATTTCTTAGTAGATAATTCAATGATTTCAAAAAATAATTTAAGAACCGCCGAGTAATCCACAACGGAGAGCTCACTAAGGTATCTGAAGCAGAGGCTGAAGTAAGACACAATTGTCTGCTATCATCGTCCATGTTCCAGATTATGATGGACTGGATATATGCAGTAAACGGTGAGTGAGGAATAAGAAGACAGACATACACTAGGCGTACAGAAAAACCCTAGAAGATCTAGATTTCGTCAATGATTTGTTTCTCATGTCTCATGAACAGGTGACTAGAGACTTTCATCAGCAGAGGTGTCTCGATAGTGAAGATCAGATGGCCAGTAAAAATCAGATACAAAGACTTCTGGCAATAAATCAGCCAAGAAAATACTGCTCAACACGTATGTAGAAAAAAAGGAGATTGGTTGGACATACGCTAGACAGACCTTCATATAACGTCATACTCCAGCGGAACATGAATGCTAACCACCAAAATGGAAAAAAGGTTCAAGGGAGACATAGAGGAGATGAGGTGAAGAGTAGGCGAGAGTTCGTGGGCGATCGTGAATCCGGTTGGAAGTAATGACATAGAACCAAGTGCAGTGGGAATGCACCACTGAAACCCTTATGTTTTATTCAAAACTTGAGGAATCAATAAGAATGTAATGATAGATCAAGTGAATAAAGTACTGGGTTCCAGCTCAACGAGTTACAAAGTAATATTACTGCTACAGGATTTGAGGATGCCAAAAGTTATTACAGCTAGAATGATAAGAACCAGTTGCATTATAATATATAATCAACAATATCAAAACTGAATGATTTAAAGCATCTTTAATACTTATAACTATCACTTAAAAATTTCACCTAAAATCAAATTGTTTGATTTCAAATTAGAATCATCCTTTTGGAAATCTTAAGCCTTCGTTGAAATACTGATTGGACAATTTCACAGAGTTTATCTACAGTGGGTCTATTGAAGAAGCTTGCTTTTATTGACCGCGTGGAGTGACACATAGATAATGATGACAGCAGAGATAATGAAATGCTACAGCTGCAGACGAACAATGACTGTCGCTATAGTGACGCTCATGAAGATATATATATATATATATATATATATATATATAACTGATGACACAAGGTTTATCTTTACTGGTGACTTGGTCAGGGTGTCAATGTATATCACTGATAGCTATTCACTTTTATACTACGACTCATTAATCATTTTATTCAACCACCATATATGTTAACCTTTTGTTTGTTTACTTTTCAGATATAAAATATTTTATGGGTTTATTATATTTAAAAAAGAAACAACTGAAGTAAAATTATTTACTGATTTTATTTATTTATTTATTTTGATCACAGAATTCCCCATCCTTCTCCAAACCAAGTCCTTTAGTGTGTTTAGAGGAAGCATGTACACGTATACTGCAGAATATACATCCATTACCTTACAATAGAATTCTTAATGGAATCACTTACAAACACACAGAAAATAACAGTCATAACACTAGTAGTAGTAAAAGTAGACATGGTTCCTCTGCACGTTTATCAAATTACAATTGGATTCAATGTAAGCGTAAAATATGCTCATCCTACAACAGAAATGAATATCAGCTTGATTTAGCAAAATTATCTAGTGTACATGGTGCATTAGCAACTTCACAAAAACGAAAAATAATCACATCAAAAAACATTCGTAAAAAATTATTTCATAGAAGGAAACAAATTTTATCAAATAAAACTTTAAATACACAGAATTTTAGATCCAAATCTCAGTCGAGAAAAATGCCCAAATCTTTAACAATATATCACAAAAAAGTCAGTAAAGGTAGTTCAGATCACAGTGAAATATTGTCAACATTTGTTTCCGATCAAACTCAAACTATTCAACCATCAGTGGTGGGCGAAAATTCAACATTGAAAAATGAACAAACAAATAAGTTGATTAACAGACATCAAAACTGTACATGTAATATTTGTTATGAAATGCAAATGTTGAATATTCTTTTAACTTCTTGGAGTACAGTTATTAATTTTATACATAATTTACAAATAAATACAATTGCTAATTCGAATGAACCGCATAACCCTGAAAATTCTAATGATATACCAAAATGCAATAATTCAAATATCTCTAAAATAGAGGATGACAACTCTAATCAAAATGAGTGATTAATAACATTTAAATAAAAACCATTTTTTCACAAAATTCCTGCTCTAAATTTATTACTTGTAAATCTGAGAAAAAGTAATGCAAAACAAAATTAAGCAGTAAACAAATAAAAAGTTGATAGCCGCATTGATCATTGAATTGAATTAAACAATACGCCCTTTTAGAAATAGTATTTAAAACAAACAAATTTATCACGGTTACAGTTAAACTGTGATGTTCACTTGACATGGGAGTTCAAACAGAGGATAGATTATTTTATACCACATAAACCGCATTACAATTTTCTCCTTTGTAATGCTTTTTGTTCATTTAAACATTTTTAGCTGAATATTCCTTTATTGACAAGTGAATGGTTGTTTAAATAATGAAGTTTTTGGTGCTTGTAAAATAGATGGAATATAAATAAAGCTAAAATACTTATACTTATATATTGTGCTACGATATTTTCTGTTACATAACTGCACCAGTGATTCACTGCCTTTACGAAATATCTTCCAATAACCAATATAAACCAATATATATATATGGTAGAGGTAGTAAATAGTCGACTAGCTCACTAAGGTAATTGCTTCGAGATCAGATAACCTCATAATAGATTTCGATATTGAGTTTATCTTGTACTGGTATCATCTTCGGAGCCAAGAAAAGAAAACTCCTTAGTGAAATTTTGTGAGGTATTTTGCTAATGTACTATTATCGGTGTGAAATTTTTTAGTGCGTTTTAACATGTACCCATATTTTCCATTCTGGGTTGCATGGAACCGCAATATAATTATTCATCTACCAAGATCATAATTCCCCACTGAAGGCAATCAGCAACACCATATGTGGTTCAGTCCAAGGATCAGTGACTTCATGGATTTATGGAATGTTTTGTTCTAACTACCTTTACCTATCTCGTACAAAATTCTACTTCAGTTAACACTGTTTTTCGAAGAAACAGGTAATTTAACATCGACAACAAATAGCCTAGACATCTCAATCTGTGAAGATTCGTATCATAGACTAATTTGCATTTTTTAATTTAACACTCTACGGCGTGGCACAACATTGTTAACCTTGTTTCCTCATGTTTATAAACAGTAAAACAAGGCAAAAACTACCCTTCTCTTGATATGAACGATTAGTACGCTGCAGTCCAGGTTCGATAATGTGACCGAAATTTGATATAGATCCATATGACCAGCACTAACAATAATGTTACGACTAAGGTTCAATTCAGAAAGACCGAATACCAAATGACATTTCGAATCTTTCCTGATAGCCACGTAAATTGGAAATAAACATTGTACACTAATATAACCCACATCAAAAGTTAAAACAAAAAATAATGAATTTAATTGGCTGCGGAAGTCCAGACTTCAAGGCTGTCCAATCACATCATGATAAATGCTCTGTCCCGACCCTGTGGTTTAAATTTGTCCAGACTGCTTTCATCTGATTTTGGCCGGTTTAGATTATGCAACATCAGGAGTGTACTACAGCTGCATACACACCATTTGACGGGTGAATGGATATGGTATTAGCACCAAAAAATCGCGCAAGTTCACAAATTTCGAAAGAACCTTCTTTGTTAGTGTTGAGATTAAATCAGCAAGAGTTGAGACAAATTCTAAAATATGTTAAGTAATCGATGCATTCTACCAGTTTACGCTCTAGCCCTAGACTTCAAATCCATGAAGACGGGTCCTTTAGTACAACTTCACGTTTAACATGTATGAACCTTATACCAGTCATACCCATATTCCCACTTATGATGTTTACAGAACTCGTTTGAAAGCATTCTCACCTAAAATGACTGTATTATCTTTCTGAAGTATGATTTTATTCTATAAAGGTAAAAACCAAACAAAGTCAAATTCATTAATAGACAGAAGACCAGTAGTTCAGCGAAGAGTCTCTTTTCGGCGAATTCACTTTCATAGCTGTATAATCGACAGCTGTATAAACGACAGAAATGAATGGTCCACCGAGGGAGAGGGCCCTTGAGTGGTTGCGCCACAGGATGATATTGCACGCCGGTCTCGTCTCGCAAAAGTCAGTGATAGGTGTGTTTGGTTCTCCTGAAAACCAATACGCAGTCAGTGGATGTACCATTATGTGAGTACGTCGGTGGGAAAGCAGTTAGGACGTTCGCCCACCATGCACATGGTCCGGGGTTCGATCCCTGGCTGACACACTCCTTTGCCTAGCTAAGCCAGTAACAAGGCTGGTAAAGAGGAAAGGTTGGGCATGAGGCTAGCAACCCCATCCTGTAAAAATAAACACCACTGCTACAGAAACTTCAAGCCACTAGCTTGAAGTCCTATGTTCCACTGGGAACATGAAGAAGTAAAAAAAGAAATAAATACACGTCTCACTAAAGGTAACTGGCTGTTTTGAATTCATAATTTTGATCGATAATTCTTTGGCATATTTGTAGTGGTATGTATTTGTTTCGAGTCTCAGTACGAACATCATTTTTAATCATCTAGTGAATTCTAAGTAGAATAAAGCCTACGTTTTTTATTTCATCGCAAACTAAAACAAAATGAACACCATTATTTTGTTTATCAATTACTGGTTTCAGAATAAATATGTCGCAACCAGGTCGGTTGCAAATAGGAATGAATGCTCACCGATGACGTTGCCCTATGTTCCACTAGGGAACCCAAGGGAACAATAATGATAATAATAATAATAATACCGATGACATTGGCTGCGGGTGACTCTGTATCGAAAATCGGCAGAAGCTAGCATGCATGGGTTATTAGACTCCAACTCACTGACTGAATAGTAGACGTGTTCAACTTGTATCTTGAATGTCCTAGATTCAATAACTGGTAGGGTCATGGATGTGCACTGCTCAAGACCCATAAGCTAAGAAGAATCAGTTATTCGGTGCTCCACTGCTTTCAGTGGTTTTCTTTTTTGGTATTGTTATCTTCGCTAGCTGGTTTAATCGCACAAATTTCAGTATCCATCTAAACAACAACTTCAAAAAAAAGAAGCTGTGACATAAATTATGAATCCACAAATATGAAGATAAAACTTAGAATAACAGTTCTAAGTCATGATTTCGGAATCAAAGTTCCACAGGATTAATCAATTTTATTACGAATATCTCCAGCAAATACAAACTTTAGGCAAAAAAAAGAAAATAAACACATTCGATGCCATAGACATGAAGATATTATCCTACGTACATCATAGGATAAATATTAATCATTGATAAAAAGGAGGTTCATTTGTTTAAACTTTGACAACACACATAGTTTCAAAGTGAATGAAGAGAAGAATCTTGACACCGTTAAATTTCATTATGGATAAGATTTTATTTTGATAAATAACACAGTGTTGTACAGTTATATTAACTGGTGACCACGTTTCGAGCACCAGCTATTGCTCATAATCATATCAACTTGAGCAACAGTTCTTGAGAGGAGTATTGAGCAAAGCCAGCTGTTGATGAAGGTCTGTAGTTTGTTTGAGGTGCTCTTCATGACGCGCAAAGTCTCTGATCCACAAAGTAGCACTGACTTGACATTGAAGTGGAAAATACAGATCTTGTTTTCCATGCTGAGTGTTGTCGATCACCACACAGATTTGAGAGTAATCAGAGCTTGCCTTGCTTTCCCTATCCCTCTTTTATATCCTCATCAGTTTCGTCCGCCAGTAGTTGAAACGATGCTTCTCAAGTAGGTGGTAAAGAAGGTTGCTTTTTTCGAATTTCTCCAATTTATGCTGACTGTTGTCTGTTATTGTTGCTGTTGGCCAGGAATCTTCATCACCTTTGTCTTCTCTATGTTCAACTAAAGGCCTATCTTCTCTGGATGCTTCTTCTGCCAACTTGTTGCTTTTTACTCGCATATTTTCCAGTTTGTGGGAAATCAAACAAATATCATCGGCGAAGTCTAGATCCTCCAAGTATTTTGTGTGGGTCCATTTTATACCTGTTTCCTCATTACCCACTGCGTGTCGCATTATCCAGTCTACCGAAATCAACAAAATCATTGGCGATAGTAGGCAGTCTTGCCTTACTCCCGTCTTCACTTCGAAGGATTCCGTGAGTTTCCCGTTGTTGATTACTTGGCATGCTGCAGCATTGTCGTACAACTGTTGGATCCGGTGAATAGATGTTGGTGGCACCCAATAATAGTGAAGTGGTTTCCAAATCAACTCTCGATCTACGCTGCACTAGCGAAGGCCTTTTCAAAGTCAATGAAGTTGAGATAGAGAGCTGACTGACTGCCATTCAAAGCTCCGTTCAATGATGATCCGTAGTGTTGTGATTTGATCAATGCATGACTTGTTCCTTCTTACTCCAGCCTGTTCCGGTCGGAGAATTTTTATATCCAGGGGAGCGTGTTTGATTCTCTCCAGGATGATACTGCTTAGTATTTTGCTTGGGATGGACGGGAGCATAATCCGGCGCCAGTTCTTGCATTGACTTAAGTTTCCTTTCTCTGGCAGTTTGAATAATTAGTCTTTCAGCACAGTGTTTGCTTTGCTCCACCTCTTTGGTGATTGACTTTCCATTATCATCCTTCACTGGATTCGAGGAGATCAATTGCGATTCCAAACAGCTGAATGGTAACTTCTTCGACAGCAGCACTGGGTGATGCGGGTTCGAATCTCAGAAAAGACATGAGTACTTTTAAGGTGATAGAAGGTACGCCTTGCTGACAAGTGCCAACTAGCACAAAACTTAGGTCCAGGGCTTCCTTCCGGTTGCCTCCAACCATCTAAAATACAGAGATTGTTAAGGGAATAATTGTGAAATTGTGATCGGTATGGCGGGACTGTATGACGCGTGAACTGTAACAACAATTGGTTTGGAGAATAATACTTTCCCAGTT